CTCTTTTTTGGTTCCATATGAGTTTTATAATTGTTTTTTCTAGTTCTGTGAAAAACAATGGTGGTATTTTGATGGGAATTGCATTAAATTTGTAGATAGCTTTTGGCAGTATCGCCATTTTCACAATACTGGTTCTACCCATCCACAGACATGGCATGGGTTTCCACTTGTTTGTGTTGTCTGTGATTTCTTTCAGCAGTGTTTTGTAGTTTTCCTTGTAGATGTCTTTCACCTCTTTGGTTAGATATATTCCTAAGGATTTTTTTACAACTATTGTAAAACAGGTTGAGTTCTTGATTTGATTCTTAGCTTGGTCACTGTCAGTGTATAACAGAGCTACTGATTTGTGTACATTAATTTTGTATCCTGAAACTTTACTGAATTCATTTATCAGTTCTAGGAGCTTTTTGAAGGAGTCTTTAGAGTTTTCTAGTTATACAATCACATCATCAGCCAACAGCAACAATTTGACTTCCTCTTTACTGATTTGGATGCCTTTTATTTCTTTCTCTTGTCTGATTGCTCTGTCTAGAACTTCCAGTATTGTGTCGAATAGAAGTGGTGAGAATGGGTATCCTTGTCTTGTTCCAGTTCTCAGAGGTAATACTTTCAACTTTTCCTCATTCAGTATTATGCTGGCTATGGGTTTGTCACAGATGGCTTTTATTACGTTAAGATATGTTAGGAAGGAGTTATCTTAAGGTAAGTTTCTGTAAGATAAGGTAAGATCATAAGGGGATGACATAGAGGGGACATGAAGAGAGAAAAGATAGGAAGAAAGCTAGAAAGGATGTATAAGCATCAATTTCCGCTTTCTGATTGCTGAAGGGATGATAGTGTTGTCAGTCAAAAATAATATCACATACCAGTGACGAGATTGGATAGTGTAATCTTTACTGAGGGAGGGCAGAAGAAAGTGAAAGTAGGAACAAAAGGTGTTTTCCATTGCCCCTGAAATCCCATTATTACTAGGGCAGGGGTTGATTTTATTTCTAAAATAAAAGTCTGACTTTTTGATAATTGCTGCCTGAAGTCTACATAGAGAAAGTTTCTGAGGCTGTATTTGAGCTCCATTGGGAAGGAGTGCATGAATAAAGAGCAACTTCTGCACAGACACAGAAATCTCCTTCTAAGGTCAACTCTGCCGGCGAACCTGGTCCTGTACTTAAAACACCTTTCCTGCATATCATCCCATGACTGTATCCTTGCTGTCATTCAGGTGTCAGCTTAAACATCACTGCTCAGCAAAGCTATATACCTGTCTACCCTCTCTTTGCTCCATACAGCATGACTGTAATGATTTTAGGCTGAAAAAAGCTTAAAACACATATAACTTCTAAGCAACAATAACAACAAAGGAAAAGAACATTCATTAAATCTCCCACACACCTTACTTCAGTAATACTACTTCCTAGTATACTTGACAGGATAAATTATTTATTAATTAAAAGTAAACAAGTAGGGTTAGAGGATACAGCCAAAAATAGATTTGGCTTAGTATAATTAATATTAAGAATTCCATCTGATGTACTTGGCTAACAGGACCAGTTGTTTATTTCAGCCACTTTTCTTTCAAATAATAACATTTTTAAAATCACATAAAGGATGTTTTTTTCTATCCACTGAGAAAGGATAAATGCATCCGACCCTTTATGAGAACTATCAGATAATTGAGAAACAAGTAAAAGGGTGGAGATAGAAGTGGACTTGAGGGCAGTGTACAGCCTTTCCATTTTAACCTAGTACAAAATTTAATAGGAAGATTACTACTAATCTTGACTCTTTTATGCAGCCATCACTGTCTAAATGTCAATTTTAAGTAGGACTGTATGTCCAACTTGTGCCAGTGAGCTGATAAAGGATTTCTGACGATAAGTAATAAAGCCATGAATGATATAGTCTCTGGTTTCATTTTTATTGAAATAGTGAAATCTCTAATAATAATATTTGCTGAAATAGCCTTACCTACAGTCTACCTATTCCTCATGTAAAACATTAGTGCTGTGGTTTGACTGTCTGTCCACTCCAAAACTCATGTTGAAATTTAATTGCCATTGTAACTGTTTTTAAGAGGTAAAAGCCATTGTGGAGAATCTCCATGAGGCCTAGTAGAGCTATGGGGATGGGGCTACCCCCAAGACCCCAAAACTGTAGAGCTATCAGTGAGCAATGGCAGTGTGGGAGAGCTGCAGGAATGAGACTCCAACCTGTGAGAGCTTCTGCATGGGCTGAGTCCAGTAAAGCTATATAGCAGGATTGCCTAAGATGTTGGTGGACCAACCCCACCCCAGTGTGCCCAGGGACATGAACTCAAGAAAGATTAGTCTCCAACTTTAAGATTTAATGTTGTTTTCCCTGTTGGATTTTGGACTTGCTTGAGACCAGTTACCCCTTTTTTTTTCTTGACTATTTACCCCTTTTGATATGGGAATGTCTAGACTATGTCCTACCATTGTATCTTGGAAGCCCATAGTTTGTTTTGATTTCACAGACTCACAGCTGGAGAAGAATTTCCCTCAAGATGAATTGTGCCTTGGACTTCACCCATATTTGATTTAGATGAGACTCTGGGCTTTAGACTTCTGAGCTGGGGCTAGAATGAGTTAAGACTTTTGGGGCTACTGGAAAGCAGTGAATGTATTTTGTGTGTGAAGACATGAATTTAGGTGGGGGTGGGCAGGAGCATAATTCTATGGTTTGAATGTTTGGCCTCTCCAAAACGCATGTTGCAATTTGTCAGGGTAACAGAAGTAAGAAGTAAGTCCTTTAAGAAGTGATGAGGCCATACGGGCTATACCCTCATGAGTGGAATGAATGCCATCATAAAACGATGAGTTTGGCCTCCTCTTGCATTCTCTCTTGCCCTTTTGCCATATGACCCTCATGGCAGACGGCCCTCATAAGATCCCATTCCCTTGATCTTGGACTTTGCAACCTGCAAGAACGGTAAGAAATAAATTTCTGCTCATTATAATTTATTGTGTCTCACATATTCTGTTAAAACGACACAAAATGAATTAAGACCCTTTGTCTGAAAAACCTAGAATTGCTGTTCAATAAGTGAGTATTTTTAGGCAGTAAAGGTTATATTAAGCTGTCAAAAAAGTCATCTTTTTGAATATGGAATAAATATACATTAGATATAGTCAAAGACGACCTTGCTAAAACAGTTAATAACAAATCTAGAAAGATTTCAAAGCTTACATTTCAAAACAATTATTAATCAACCTGGAGACTAAATTCTCCCCAGGTGCTTTATTCAGTTCCATTTTTTAATTGAACTGTACAGTGCAAGAAACTTTTCTGAGATCTAATCAGGAAATAGCCGGGATCTACAAAAACTACCTTAGGTGATCTTGGTTTATAGCAGGGTTTCTCAACCTCAACAATTACTGTATTTGGGTCAAATAATTCTTTGTTGTGGGACACTCTCCCGTCATTGCTGAACGTTTAACAGCATCCTTGGCCTCTATCCACTAGATGACAGTGACATCCTCTTCCCCAGTTTAACAAACAAAAGTGTCTCCAGACATTGCCAAATGTTCTTTGGAGGACAAAATTAACCCATGTTTATAAGGTAGGGAAAAAGGCTTTCCAAATATTCAGGATTTAGGCCCACAAGCTTATTCAGCGGAATCAAACCTAAGAAAACTGTGTCACAGAATCTAGACTCTTTACTACTCTACAAGCAAACCCATATGAGTCCACCAACATGGTTTGTGGAAGTTAATCAATTGAAGCAATGGTAAACATATGCTCTACATATGAGTTTTATATTATATAAGGTCTTCGGAGAGCACACCTCTTCTGATTTGGACTCTACTTGGTGTTTCACAAACGTTGTTAATTTTTTTTTAGCTACCTTGTCGAGGGCTAGTTTGGGTAACATGGATAAGAATTTGGTTTACCACCCCATTCTGTAGTTAAAATTGCATTAAAGTTATTTGAATACTGTGAGGTTAGAGATCTCACCATCAAGTTTACCTGAGGCATATTTTTAAGGCTCAATAAAGTTGAAGTCCTTAAGCCAGTCTTACTGTTTTCAATATTTTAATGCTTCCAGTTCAACTATTCATTCAGAGCATAAAAAGCAAGGATGAGTTAGATGGTCACTTTCTAAGCAATTCAGATTACCCAATAGGTATACATTTTTTAAAGACTAGAAGCACAATAAGGCTAATTTCAAAACCATTTATAGTGATAGGTCTCAGAGTAAATGTACCAATTTACCGTAAGACATCACTAGGCTCTGATCATTAATGAATATGTCAGAAATTTCTCCTTTATATTCATATTTATATATTTATCTTTAAAAGTTATGTTCCACAGAGTATCAACCCTCTCATTCTTTAGGGATTCCAAACATGGCCCCATTGGACCAGCTGCCAATCTTGGTCACCACAAATAATTAATCCCACCATGAAATATTTAAAATATGTAAAGGTTAAAAGATCATAAAAATGAGACCATATGTCCAAACATACCACGTGTGCTTTGGCAAGAGAAATGTATGTGTTAAGACAAGTCTTAACCAGCCAGCCAGGGAACTAGATCAAAACCAGGATAAAAAGATTCTTTTCATATAAGCTAGGTATTTCCCTAGCACTTACCCCAAGGTTAGCTGAGACGAAAAAAAGCCAGTATACCCCTATTGGCCTGGCAAAGCCATCTTCCTTGATGGCTGAAAAAAAATAAAGGGACTAGAACCTTATTTGGGGAGATGAACTGCCTTGGTCTAAATCCTGGCTCCACAACTAACTCTGCCAACATCTTATTATGTTGGCAACATATTTAATATCTCTGAGCCTCAATTTCCTCACCTATAAAATAGAAATTGTTATATCTTTCTTCTGGAATATTTTGAGGATCAAACAAGATAAAGAAGGTTTTAGAACATTTTTGGCACAGAATGAAGGCTGTTGTTCTTATTAAGAAAAAAAATCTATATTCCATCTCATCAGGAATGCTAACATTTTGATTCTCACTTTTACTTGTTTCAGATTATGCTCCAAGACACTGAATCTGAAAAGATGCATCCAGTTTTTCCAAGTGGTTTCACTACCAAGGCCAGTCTCCCCCTATGACAGACCCAAGGAAGCTCATTTACAACTAGAATCTAGTCATTTAGGGGCCTGTGTGCTCCCTGGGTGGGCCATCTGTGCTGGTGTGAGGTTTATCTCATTGAAGGGAAAACCAAAGGAATCTTCTTGAATATCAGCACCAGGAAGAACAGTACAAACTGGAGAAGTTGGGGTATGTAGGCAGTGGCTTCAACCCACGCATTATATGCATTCAATTACTCAGAAGACCCTGTACTCCACTTATTTTGGTTGAATAAGCAGACTGTAAAACCAACAAAAAATGGAAATTGCTTTTAGATAGCTAGTGTATGGGCTTCTTCATGTCATACCTCTCATCCTTTAGAACCAATTATCTAGTGTTGATTATACCACTATGTGTCAATATTATTAAATTAAAAATGGTTGTAGCTGGGCATGGTGGCTTGCACTTGTCATCGTAGTTACTTGGAAGGCTGAGCCAGAAGCATTTGTTGAGGCCAGGAGTTTGAGACCAACCTGGGCAACATAGCAAGACACCATCTCTAAAAAAAAGTAGCCAGGCAGGGTGATGGCAAATACCTGTAGTCCCAGCTATTCAGTAGTCTGAGGTGGGAGGATTGGATTGCTTGAGCCCAGGAGTTTGAGGCTGCAGTGAGCTATGATCACACCAATGCACTCCAACCTGGGCAACAGAGCAAGACCCCAACTCAAAACAAAATTTTGGAACAAAACTTTTTAAATTTTTAAAGTAAAAATTCACTTTAGTATTAGCTAAGTGAATAAGAATTAGTTTAGATGACCCTCAAGAACAAAAGTGTAGTTTTCCACTCTTTTAATGCCTTTTAGAGCTTATTGTACAATATTTAAATATACAAAAATGTATAAAGAATAATACAGCAAACTTTTCCTGAGGTTAAGGGTCTTTAGGGAGCTCAGCTTTAATCTGGTCCAATTCCACATCTTGTTACCCCTTTTAATACCTACACCTTTAATACTCAAAACTCTGGGCATAGAAATTGTCAGATTCCCTGAAGGTAGCTAAAGAATTAGCTGCAGTTTTCCATTCTACTTTCTTTGTGAGTATAAAAGAGTTTTACATTTTAAAAGGCATATCCAATATTTCATTCGGCACTCTGTTTTTACTGGGAAGTTTTTTCAGGATACCTAACCTCCTTCATTTTTCATCAAAATATACTCACTATTATGAGTTTAAAATGTTTTTAATTTTATTTTATTTACACAGTTGTCTCTGTCCTCACTATTAAAATTGGAATGCAAATAAAAACAAAATGGCCATGAACAGAATTCGTATGCATTAAAAACTATTGTAGGAACACACAGGTTTCCATGGAGGAGAGCAATTTTTCTATTTAAATGTATTTGCAATAGTTTCAAAGCAATAACTAAATGTAAATAAGTCATTTTTGTTGTTTTTCAATGAATGTGAACCCCAAACCAAACTATAATACCCCTTCTCAAAGGCCTTCTAGGATATTTCCCCAATTTGTAAATTCTCCCATTCTAGTGTAAATTCATCTTAGATAACTAAGATGATTTAGAGAAGGTGCATGCTAGCAAATCCGCTAAGCCTTTTCCTTGTAACCTAAAGTATGTTGAGTTAATGAAGAAATTCAATCTCTTTCTCTAATGCTTATATCAAAAGTTTAGAATTCCTACAATTTTCTTACCCAAGTATAGTGATCAGGAAAATCAGCAAATGCTAAATTGATGGTTTCAGTTTCCCAAAGTTTGGATGAGCCCTGGGATATCATCAAGGTGATATCATCAGATGTATATCTCACCTTGGTAACCATCTTTGATAAGGATGCTGACTTACACTCCTCTGGGTGTGCTGGCCAGCTAAAGGCTGATACTCTCTGCCAAAGTCTCCTCTGAAGACCTGAACTTCAGCTCTGGCACCATTGTTCTGGTCATCCCATTCAGACTTTCCTTGGCCCCTATTCATGGGAAGGGGAGTAAGCATATGTTCTCTCCAGTTTCAAGATGAGGAAAACGAGGTTCTAAAAGGCTCATTTTTTCTGAATCCAGATAGTAAATGATGGAACCAAACAGACTGCACAGCTCATATTTCACTATCCTGTATTTCACATATTAAAAAAACAATTTTGAGCTAATGGCCAATCAGGTAGTCACTGACTTTGTAGATATTTTAAGTGATTGGGCTTATGCTGACTACTTGTGGGATGTCTAATTTGTTTGCAGGCCTGCTTGGCATGTAGTAACTGTTATGTAAGTGTTTGCCGTTTATCATTGCCAAAGGCATGGCATGCTCAAACTGAGCACCTTAGGCGTCACAGTACGTCAAAACTACCATTTCTGCAGCACCCTTTCCTAGATCCAGGCTTAAGAAGAGGACGATTCCCTTAAAATACAAGCAATTCTAAGCCAGAGAGAATTTCTGCAGCCAAACTGGAGTAGTATTTCTGTGATGCTCAGTGAGCCTTCAGTAATTTCAAGAAATCAAACTATATATAACCCTATCTATATAAAGTAAGATTAGATCTTTGTAACACTCATTCATCTTGCTGTTGATTTTAAGCTCTCCCTTGATGTAAGCTTCTTCATCTCTGCCTACACAGAGACATCAAATTATGGGAAGCTTGTTAATTCAGACCAAGACTGCCCTCATAGAATCACATTATTTGGATAAAGACTTGATACAAACATCTCTCTGTAATGTCTATTACAAAGGAATCTTCCTAGGCAAATAACAATATAAACAATGTTAAAGGAAGCTTATTTAAATGTTTTAAGGTAACATATATTTTTAAATTTTGACTCTTACTAACAATATAAATGATAATATATAGTTATGAGATTTGTTTCTTAAACCAGGTCCACAAAGAATTTCTACTGGGAAATACTTCCTAATAGGCTGACTCTATTTGCTTCTCACTACAGATTTTAAAATATTTTAAGACCAATTGTCTCAGGAATATGTGTCAAAGAAAACAGGTAGTACTGAAGCTTTAAATCTAGGAGCATTTATAAAACTGGTGAATAAATCAACAATTATTAATTTTAGTTCTACAATATGTTTATCTACCTATGTCATGTTTAGGAAACTCATGTTATTAAAGTCCTAGGAGATTACACAAGCAATTTTCTTTCTAGTGCTGAATTTGAATGTTTCTGAATAAATCTCTTTTACAAATGAGAATTTTAAATGAAAATTTCAAATGTCTCTGTACATATATATATACAAACATGTTTATAAATTTGAGAAGATACAAAGAAACCACTAGAATATTTCTATAACATCTATGCAATTTAAATTTTAAATTTGTATGGTCTTACTGTGCGATGTTTTCTGAGAGCCCAAACTTAAGCATTTTCTATATGAGAGGAAATGTTCTGTGTCATCAGTCATAGGTTCACTCTAGTCTTTAAAAATACCCAGTGACCAAGCGTGGCGGCTCATGCCTCTAATCCCAGCACTTTGAGAGGCCAGGGTGGGAGGATCACATGAGGCCAGGAGTTTGAGACCAGCCTGGGCAACATAGCAAGACACCATTTCTATAAAAATATATTTAAAAATTAGCCAGGCCTGGTGGTGCATGCCTGTAGTCCCAGCTATTCAGAAGGCTGAAGTGGGAGGATTGCTAAAGCCCTGGAGTTTGAGGCCACAGTAAGCCATGATCATGTCTTGTACTCCAGTCTAGGCAAAGGAGCAAGACTTTGTGAAAAACAAAAACAAAAACAAAAACAAAACAGAAAGCCTCAAATGGACATTTATCTGCAGCCTGCCTGCCATATTCTTCTTTTGAACATTGTCCCCACCACCCCCTACCACCCCTTTCCTTTTCTCACTGAAGTAACACGGAGTCCAAACAGTATCTTCCATTTTCTTGCACAATCCTACAGCCTTGGCACATGACTCTAGCCTGGCCAATCAGTGTGTTTCCCTGGGGAAAACTTCCTTCCTTCTGTGAACCTGAAAGAGCAAGAGCTATTGCTAGCTGCTGTGTCTGCTTGTATAGAAGATCTCCTGCCTTTTGAAAGGGAGCACAAAACTGATGTTCAGAAAGAAGGCTGTATGTTAAGAGAGAGAAAATAGAGACAGAGCAAGAGACAGAAAAAGAGAGACAAAACTGAGAAGAGAAAAAGACTAAATCAGAGACAGAAAAGGAGAAAGGAAGGCTGGAGGGAGGGAGACATTGACATTGTATTAATGTGATTGTCCTGACTCTATTTTTGGCTCTGATTCCTGCCCTAGTCCTGCCTTCCAAGGCTTGGCTTTTAAGCCTTTGCTCCTGTTCTGTGAGATATTTGTTGACCTTCCAAAAAATTCCCCTCTGCTGTTCTGGTTGGGTATCCTTGCGTTCAGAAGATTGCTAATAATGTTAGAGCTTCTTCAAAGTCTCTGTAGCACTGCATTTGGAAGGTATGCAAGTTTGATAACGTGGAGAATCATTTGGAATTTATGTTAAATTTTAACCTCCCACCAAATCGTATATCAACGTGTAAGGAAGGAGAAAAAAAATCACCTAGCATGTATTATTATTGTAGAAACTATTATTTCAAAGAACAGTAGGTGTGATTGAATTGAGAATGACAAACCAGCCTCAACTAAGCAAGTGGATGAGGAGACTGGCTCCATGTAATCCACTTAGAAAAACTTAGACTGTATGAGAGGCTGAAGGAACTTCCAAATTTTCAGTTACCCAAGTTATGTTTTCCCTGCAGACTCTTGGTATATTTGTTTCCTATTACTGCTATAACGAATTACCACAAACTTAATGGCTTAAAATGAAAAATATATATATAGATCTAGAGATAAGAAATATAAAATGGGGTGGTAGCACCATGTTCTTTCTGACAGCTCTAGGGGAGTAACTGTTTCCTGGCCTTTTCCAGCTTCTAAAGACTGCCTGCATTCCTTGGCTTGTGGCCTGCATCATTCCGACTTTGCTTCTGTCGCCACATCTCTTCTGACTGAGACGCTCCTGCATCTGTGCAGGAACGCTTGTGATTATGTTAGGTCCACCTGATAGTCCGAGGTAATCTCACATCTCAAAATCCTAAATTTAATCATATATGCAGAGTCCTTTTTGCCATGTAAGGTGGCATATTCACAGGTTCTAGAGATTAGAACATAAATATCTTTGGGTACCAATATTAACATATACTTGATACTGATCTTTGCCAGAAAAGGTGTAGCAGTCAGTGCTA